TGTGAAGCTAAGGTGTTTCACAGAGGAGGTGTCCCATGGGCATCTGGCCATGCAGGTCTGGAGTTTGGCGGGGGGCGGGTGTGGGGGGGGCCTGTGTTGGAGACCACTGAGGGATGAGGCCTCAGGTCAAAGCCTGGAGATCAGATTCGGAGGAAGAATATTAAGGTTGTGTTTCTCTTACGTAGCCCTTGAGGTGAGAGATTGGAGGGCAGGAAAGAAGGGGTGGACATCCTTCCTTCCCTCCAGAGAGAGGCACGGGAAGTTCTGGCTGGTCTCAGCAGGAGAGGGCTGTAGGGTGTAAAGAACCTGGCCTGAGATGCAGAGGCAGATGTGAGACCCTAGAGATTTGCCACCCTGGACTCAGCAAAGGCACTGCTTGTGGAACAGAGGAAAAGTCAGCCTCGGCCCAAACCAGGGACCTGGTACATCAGTTCTCCAGCTCTTAGGTGAGGAGAGAGTATGAACATCTCTAATGAAGGGCCACCGGCAGGCTCACCTTCAGAGGAGTATGTACCAGGTAGGCTCATTTGGTGAGAGGACTAATGGACACTTGGCAGGTATACACAAGCAGTAAAAAATTTAAAATGGATAGATATGATAAGTTTATATTAATGCTTAGTAATTGATTGAAGTGGTTGCCTGTAAGTGTTTATGATCAAAGTCTTAAATATCACATTTTCTTAAACAAATCCCAAATATCAAAAACCTATCCCTTCATTTGCTCCAAAACCATTTGGGAAAATGTGAAGCTTGTGGGCAGTAAAAGTTGATTCAAGGATCCTTGACATCTACTAACGTGTCCGATACAAACAGTAGCCCTGTTAGGTGGGTACCACTGTTATCCTTGCTTTACAGATTAGGACACTGCAACACATCTTTGTTCATGGACACCCATATGATAGGAGGCAACACTAAGGTCTTAGTATCTGAGATTAGACATTCAGAAATCATTCTCACCAAAAGGCAGGGCAGGAGTTAGAGGAATAGTTCAGTCCGTGATACCCCATTCTGGTAACCTGCCACGTTCAACTCCTTCTTTCTGCCAGGTTGCTTTGGTGGCAGAAGCACTTAGGATCTCTGCACTCACTTTACTTACCCTTCTACTTGCCATTGAGTTTGGGGATGCCGGTGTTACCAACGGTCTTTTGCCTTGAATTGAGTGCAGAGGGATGAAGTGTGAAACAGTGCCCTAGGCACAAGAACCAGCATGTGCAAAAACATCACTTTAGGCTGAACTAGGAGTGTTTAGGGAACCTCAGGTCTCCGTTATGTCTAGTGTGATCAGAGAGCAGGGGACAGGATTCAACTCTGGAAGGGCAGCTGTGGAACTGGGCTTCTGTTTTGAGAATGGTGGGAGCCATGGAAGGTTTGGAACAGGAGGGAGTGATCTGACTGTGGTCTTAACAGGCTTTCTCTGGCGGCACAGTGAAAAAAAGACTCTGGAGTGAGGAAGGAGCACTGTTGATGATGGCTGGACTAGACTGGTCACTCTGGAAGCGAGGGACAAATGCTTGGATTCTGGTCCTTTTTTTGTTTTGTTTTTCTTTAAGTAGGGTTAACCAGATTTTCTGATGTGGTTGGTGAGGAAAAGAATGGGAAGAGTCAGGGATGATTCCACAGCTCTCAAAGTTTTTGGCCTGAGAAGGTATAAGGATGAAAAAATCCTCCATTGAGATGGTGAAGTTGGTGGTGGGAGTAACTTTCAGAAGTTATATCAAGAATTAGGCTTTGACGGTGTTGAATCTGAGTGGAGGTACAGACAGACAGCTGGGCACACAGGTTTGGGTTTCAGAGGGATTCAAGTCCAGAAGGTGGCAGTCAGTAGATGGATTAGAGTAGAGCTGCTTATCCGATTTATGGAGAGGACCTTTATGTCATAGTGGCAGTGCCACTAAGGGTCTGGAAGGGGGTGGACCTGGCAGAGTGGGGTAGGAGTCGCCTAAGAGACAGGAAAAGGGGGGTTAGGGTCCATTTTGGAGGGAGAGAGTAGGATCTGGCAGGTGGGAAAGTCTTCCAGAGAGCGTGGACACGAGATGGATGCTGGGGTAGAGCAATACTGGAGATGAGGTGAAAGTGAGGCCCAAGCAGGTGCTTTCCCTTCCCTGTGTGCTTCCCAGGTGTTCATGGTGACCTTCAGTGGGACGTGGGGAGTTTCAGTCCAGCTGGTAGAAGAGCTCAGGGGCAGACTGGGTCAGCTGGCAGAGTAACTGTGCTTGAGGTAGGACAGTGGGTGTGGGCTTTGAATGAGAATTTAGTATTAAGTGTTAAGTCTTTTATTGTTGAGAATAAAGCATCCTTAGTATATGACAGCAAGGTGGGAAGGGGCTGGGTTTATCTGATATCTTTATGTCGTTCTGGATTGCTGAAGTTGAATCAAGGAATAGGGCCAGGAAGGGAGGATTTAAAAGCTGGGTTCAGAGTTAAATGCAGTGGGGACCATTGACTGGAGCCAGATGTGATCTTGGATGCATTAACCAAGAATTCTCTGGATGCTATGTGCAGATTATCATGTGGGAGATGTGGGAGATACCTGTGTTGTGGGTATCCATAGACATGAGGGAGCTATGGTCTCAAGAGTATTGTGTACTGGAGATGGAATCTGAATTTGTAGCCTGGGGACTCTAGGGAGAATTCTGAACTCAAATTTGTATATGAGAGGTATGAACTCTAGACCCCAGGGGAACTAGCTGGCAGAAGTGTCTGTCTGGGGGCGCCTGGGTGGCTTGGTCATTAAGCGTCTGCCTTTGGCTCAGGTCATGATCCCAGGGTCCTGGGACCGAGCCCCGCATCGGGCTCCCTGCTCAGTGGGAAGCCTGCTTCTCCCTCTCCCACTCCCCCTGCTTGTGTTCCCTCTCTCGCTGTGTCTCTCTCTGTCAAATAAATAATAAAATCTTTAAAAAAAAAAAAAAGTGCTTATCTGTCCCCCGCCTGTTGTTCTGGGCTGGACAAAAAGATTATTAGGAAATGGGGAGAGTGAGTAGGCACCAGGCACAAGGGCCTGGTATCTGGTCTGACTTGAGCTGGGGAGGAAAGTGAATGTGTGGTGGGTAGTCCAGGAGTTCAGGGGAGAGCTGCTGCCCCTGTGCTCAGTTGTTGACTTCATGCAGGGTCATGTGACTTTCAAGGATGTGTTTGTGTATTTCTCTTGGGAGGAATGGGGGCTGCTTGATAAGGCCCAGAGACTTGTGTCACACACAGTGTTTTCTATGCTTTGTGCTTATGTGCTTACAGTCTTCCTGGGTAAGGCCCCACATACCCCAGTTTTCTGGGCTGTGTTCTATTCTTTCTTCCCTCAAAGGTTGCCATTTTCTTCTCATAGCTGCCACGGGCACTGCTGTTTTCCCTCACTAAGATAGGTTTTCTGGGTACTGGGGCTTAGCTGTGTATTGCCTCTTTACTACCTGTACTCCCCAGCCCCTGCTGCCCTAAACCGTTACCAGAAAGGGTTTGAGGGTCAGGAGTCTAGTGGTCAGCCCAGTGGACTACCCTGCTTGCCCTTTCCCTGGGTGTATGGCTCTACCCACATTCATGATACCTCTGTCCTCTAGACTCTGCCCCTTTCCTATAATTTCCTTGGGCCTACCTGTCTCATGAATTGCCATCATGGTCACTGCTGTGGGCCCAGTGTGCTGATCCTGCAAGACATTTCTGATGTTCATTTTATAATATTTAGTTGTCTTAATCTCCTGTGGGTGGGCTGCTCTGGGCCACTGCTTTCCTACTTGCCCTGTCTTTCCTCTATGACTTGTTTTCTTCCAGATCCTTTGTGGTTGCTGAACTTAGCAGGGGGAAGAACTCTGAGTGCCTGACTTAGAGGGACTCTAGCCATGGCAGGAGGGACGTGGACAGGCCCTGGTGAGTGGGAGCTTGGGGAGGGTGTGACTTCAGGGCTGGGTTCAAATAGTGCCAGAAGCCTGTCCTGGCCCCACTCCTGTTTGGTGCCTAGGTTATAGACCATACCTCTTTCTATCTTTTTCTCCTCATTCTGGACGCTTTACACACTTGTCATTTCTGTTCTGACCTCCAACCAGGGCTGTCCACACCCACTCACCAGTGCTCTCTACTGCTCCTTCTGCAGTGCTCTCCTGTATTGGACAATGCTCATGTGTTGTGAGATGTACATATATCCTTAAATGATTCTTGAATACCACTTGCTCATTTTAGATCAGATTTTCCTGGGCCTAGACATACATTTCTGTAAAGTGCTCACCAATAGCCAAGGCCCTTCTAAAAATCATTTGCACAGGAGTAAATTGGACATCCTGCCTGCTGGTTCTCTCTGAGCTACACCCCCTCCTTGTGTCTTTGTCCCTTGTGCAGACTTCCTCATTCTTTCACTCTTTGAGGCCCAGTATTACACAGCAGTTTTTTCTTTAACCTGATGCCAAGGCTGCTGTCCTGCCAACACCCGCATGGACTAAATCCTGGGTATACTAGACATATTTGTGACGGGGTTGCCCCTTCCCAACAGTCATCATGCACTTCAACAGCATTTGTCTGCCTTCAGGTTGCTGGTGTGCAGGCAGAAATGAAGAGGATGAAGAGGCACCTTCTGAGCAGAACATTTCTGTAGAAGTGTCACATGATAGTATTTCCAAGGCACGTTCATCAACCCAGATGGCTCACCCTTGTGACATATGTGGCCCCATCTTGAAAGATATCTTGCACCTGGATGAACACCAGGAAACACGCCAAGGACTGAAACCTTACACATGTGGGGCATGTGGGAGACAATTCTGGTTCAGTGCAAACTTTCTACAGCACCAAAAGCAGTACAATGTAGAGAAACCCTTAAGAAGAGACAAAGGCAAGACCTCGTTTGTGAAGAACTGTAGAGCTTATGAAGAACCTCACCTGTCAGAAAAGCCTTTTCCATGTGAGGAGGAGCAGAACTTCCAGGCCAGTTTGGGCAGTCACCAGCAAAAGGCCACCCATAGCAAGAAGAAGACAAGGAGTACCGAGAATGGGGAGGCTTCTCACAGTGGACATATGCATTACAGGTGCAGCGAATGTGGGAAGGCCTTCAACCGCAAAGACACACTCGTCCAGCACCAGAGAATCCATACAGGAGAAAGGCCTTACGAGTGCAGTGAATGTGGGAAAGCCTTCAGCCGCAAAGCCACCCTTATCCAGCACCAGAGAATCCATACCGGAGAAAGGCCTTACGAGTGCAAAGAATGTGGGAAAGCGTTTAGCCGCAAAGACAACCTTACTCAACACAGAAGAATTCACACTGGAGAAATGCCTTACAAGTGTAGTGAATGTGGAAAATACTTTAGCCATCACTCCAACCTAATTGTACACCAGAGAGTTCACAATGGAGCGAGGCCTTATAAGTGTAACAATTGTGGGAAAGTCTTCAGACACAAATCCACACTTGTTCAACATGAGAGTATCCATACTGGGGAAAATCCTTATGTTTGCAGTGATTGTGGGAAATCCTTTGGCCACAAATACACTCTCATTAAACACCAGAGAATTCACACAGAGGCAAGGCCTTTTGAGTGCGTTGAATGTGGGAAATTCTTTAGTCGAAGCTCTGACTTTATTGCACACCAGAGAGTTCACACGGGGGAAAGGCCATTTGTGTGCAGCAAATGTGGGAAAGATTTCATCAGAACATCCCACCTTGTTAGGCACCAAAAAGTTCACACTGGAGAAAGGCCATATGAGTGCAATGAATGTGGGAAAGCCTATAGTTTAAGCTCCCACCTCATCCGGCACCAGAAAGTTCACACTGCAGGAAGGCTTTAGGAGTGCTTTCAACACAACAGGATTCATAGGGGGAGGAGCTCTGTGATTACCCTTTGAGAGGAAGACATCAATCAGATGTTGAACCCTCATATATCAGCATTACCACCAGGGAGATACCTTATGAATGCCAGGTACAGGGAAGCTTTCGTGGGTTGTGTTGCACTTTCAAACAGGTCCTTGCCAGATTTGTCACGCAATGCCTGTGGCTGAAACCATCTCAGCTCTACCAGCTTAGTTACCATAACATCCTCAGGGAAGGTAGAATTTTGTACTCTCCAGTCCCTGGAGGGAATTACAAGAATCCTGAATTAAATGGGATTTCTCATTTCCTCCACACTGACTGATAAAAGGTGTGGACTTTACATCTTTAGCCAAGAGGATCTGAGCTGTGTTCTGGCTTACAGAAAAGGTTTACTTTCTTCATGGACATTGTTGGTCTCATGTGGTACTTGTGACAGATTTCCAGCCTCCAATTCACCTAACCTGGAGAACTACTTGTCTTACGTTGCTCTGGTTTCTGTGATAATAAAGACCTTATTATTTAAGCCATCGTTAATCTTGGACATTATTTTTACTGTTTGGAATGATTTGAAAACACTTAGGCCCTGCCAAACTGAAGAGATAAACAGTGTGTCTGTGGCGGGGGGGCTCCAGTTTTGTGTGCCTCAAATGGAAGAGCAGGTTGGCAGAGAACCATTTTCAGTCCAGTTTAGGGGTTTATGGGCCTGATTTTGTCTGGATTTCAGAGTTCTTTGAAGGCCCAGACATCACCCTGGGGGTGACAACCTTCAATATGTTTGGGAGCAGCATGGATTCTGTGTCTTATTTCCAGCATCTATACCATATTTCGCAGCACTGTTGAGGGGAAGCTGTTTCTGAGGACCTGCCAAGTGCCATATGCCCTGAAGGCCAGAATCTGATCTGGTACCCAAGTCTGGCCACAAGACTTACCATTCCAGGAAGGAAACAAAATTGATACAGAAACACTGGGTGTGAATAACTGGGTTTGGGGAGACTGCAGCAAATGAGAGTGGATGTGCCCATTTTAAAAAGACATCCATAAACATTCCTGTCACTATGGCTCTGTGAGATGGGGATGCATGGGAATTCTTAGCATCTCCAGGGCTGTATCACTCTATGACCAAGGTCAGTGGCAGGGCAAAGAATGTAAAGTTTATCGATTTCTGTACCTCCCTAGGCTCTATACCTAGTGTCTTTGCTGCATGGGCAAGAAATCTGGGATGGACACTGTGGTCCAAGGATGCAGATTTTGTGACCAGCCAGAGCTTCTGGTGACTCAACTTGGAAACGGCCTTCACTGCTTGCCAGTTCTTCTTGCTGCTGGGGAAGAGGTTCTCTTACAAGGCGTTTGGAGAAAGATGGTAGAGTCACTATATTGATGCTCAGTCTGGTTTTCCAGTAGAAGTGGAAGACCCAGATGTTGCAGTGGAATCATTTTTTATAGTTTCATTGAGGTGTAGTCAACATGCCATATGCTGCACATATGTAAAGTGTGCAATTTGTGATCCTTAATATATGTATAAACATAAGAAATCACCCAGCTATTGTATTGGACATATCCACCCCCAAAGTTACCTCATGGCCCTTCCTAATCCCTCTCAATGCCCTTCTTTTTTTTTTTTTAATATATATATATTTTTAATATCTAAACTATATATTTTATTAACATTGTTTCAGGGGTACAGGTCTGTGAGTCATCGGTCTTACACAATTCACAGCACTCAAAATAACACATACCCTCCCCTATGTCCATCACCCAACCATTCCATCCCTCCCCCCCCGCCCCCCGTCCACTCCATCAACCCTCAGTTTATTTCCTGAGATTAAGAGTCTCTTATGGTTTGTCTCCCTCTCTGGTTTAGTCTTGTTTCATTTTTCCCTCCCTTCCCCTGTGATCCTCATAGCAGTGAGATCATATGGTAATTGTCTTTCTCTGGTTGACTTATTTCGCTTATTTCAATGCCCTTCTTAATACTTCCTATCCCTTCCCCCAGGCAACCATTGATTTACTTTCTGTATAGATAAATTTGACTTTTCTAGAATCTTATTTAAGTGGAACCTTAGAAGTCTATTAATTGTCCACTGTCTTTCATGCAACATTATTTTGAGAATCATTTGTATAGGTAGTTCATTCTCTTCATTGGTGAGTAATAGTCTATGGATATACTGCAATTTATCCCTTTATCTTTTCTGTGTGTATGTACAAAGTGGTGGTTTTATTAAAGCACATCCCCGTGGGCAGAAGGAGCTGCCCCTTTATCTTAATTGACATGTTTTTCCCCAAATCCTAGATATTAAAAACAAAGCTGCTGCAAATATTAATGTACAAATCCATATATGGACATTTAGCTGAGGAAATTTCTAAACCAAGTATTTTAAGTGTGGCCTTGTTTCTTACTGTTTATGGTAAAATGTGATAGGGAAGAGATAAATGTAGGGAAGAACTATTGAACAGAAAAGACCCCAAGACTTTATGATTTGGGAAATTCTTATTCCATCTTAATTGCAAAAGACATTGAAATGAAGTGATTCATGGTCAAGAAAGCATGTTCTGGAGAAATACCCAAGGGTGTAGCTGTACAGCCTTTTGTAATATCTCAGCAAGATCAAAAGACCAAAGTATTTAGTCACATAAAATTTCTTTGAAGAGATTGTGACTAAGCAGGTCTCAGTATAACCAGAGACCATCTAGGAAGTTTAAAGGGATCCCTTGGCTATCTCAACAAAAGCCAAAAAATTGATACAGGATTATCCAGGGAAAAAAATATGTGAACCAACCTCTTGTCTAATGGAAGGAATCTCTGTGGTATATACAGAAGAACCACAAAGTTCTTGAAAATTCCTTTCTAGTAGAGACACCTTGAATCTTAAAGGGACAATATGAAATTAGGACCTACAATATTCTGCACACATGAAACCGCCTGAGAAAATTACTAAGCTGCAAACCTTTATTACCTGTCAGAGAAAAGGAGGTGGACGACAGAGCAGAACAGGGTGGGGAGCTGAGAGCCCAGTGGCCAGAGCCCTGAACCATAGAAGGTATTCCCAGGCCTTGATACCTAATGTAGTTTGCTAAACTTGATTTCAAAATTTCTTGGAACTTGTGGCTATTTATTTTTTCATTTTCTCCCATTTGAAACAATGTATATAACTATTATCCTAGGTCTATTCCACCATTTTATTTTGGGAGCAGATACCTTGTTTTCTGTTTTTACAGATCCACAGATGGAGAGCATTGTGTGCCGGGGTGGAGTATATCCAGAGCCTCAGCCATATCCATGTCTGATTTAGACAATTTAGATGATGAGATTTGGGATTTTTGAGCTGATGAGATTTGGGTGTTGAGTTGATACTGTAATGGAAGGAGACATTTTATGATCTTGGGATGGGTAGAATATATTTTACAAGCAGGTCAGATAGGAATCTGCGGACCAGACAGCAAACTGTAGTAAATGGAATCACTGCTCCCAAAGATGTCCATGCCCTAATCCCCAGAATCTGTGAATGTTCCTGTAGATGGCCAATGGGGCTTTGCATATGTAATGGACTTTGTGATTAGACTTACCCAGGTAGGCTCAATCTAATCACATGAGTCTTTATTATTTTATTTTAATTTTTTATTTTTTTTAAATATTTTATTTATTTATCTGACAGAGCACAAGCAGGGGGAGCGGCAGGCAGTGGGAGAGGGAGAAGCAGGCTCCCTGCTGAACAAGGAGCCAGATGTGGGGCTCGATCCCAGGACCCTGGGATCATGACCTGAGCTGAAGGCAGACGCTTAACTGACTGAGCCACCCAGGTGCCCCTCACACGAGTCTTTAAAAATAGAGAACTTTTTCTAGCTGTAGGGAGAAAGAGACAGAAGAGTCAGACGTGGCTGTATCAGGCCCTTTGGTGCCCCATTGCTGGTCCTGAGATAAAGCTAGGAACTAAGTTGAGCACCACACATCTGATAGTCAGCATCTTTAGTTCTGGCTCAGCAAGATCAGAAGGTCAAAGTATTGATCACACAAAGAGCCCTTAGAAGAAATTATGTGACTTTGCAGATTACCTCATTATAGAAAGCACCCCGGAAGCTTAGAAACCTCAGTCCTACAACCACATGGAACTGAATTCTGCCAACAAAGCACACAAGTAGGAATCTGATTTCCCAGAGCTTCCAGAAAGAAACAGCTTGCCAACTTCAGGCACAGCTGGAGCCCCAGGGACTGGGGGAGAGCTCCGCTGGCCAGTGCACTGCATCAAAGGTATGAGGGAGCTGGGGCCTGCCAGGGTAGCACTTGCCTGCAGAGAGGCTTTGGTTCAGAGGGGAAGGAAACCAGAGCCTTAAATCCTGAACTGCTGGCTCAGAGGTGCGGTGTCAGGTGGGTACCCAGGCAGAGTCAGAGAGAGCTCTGGTCTAACTGGCTGTACCTCTCTGGGCTCTCAGGCCCCCGGGCACCAGGTTCTGTTGCCTCCCACCTCTGCAATCCCTAGCAGCCCAGGGCTCTCCATGTGCCCTTTTGGCCTAGGAATTCCCTCTTCGCCTAATGGCTCCTTGGCGGCAGCACTGACTCCCTGGACCTCTTGCACTATCAAGACACCCAGCCCTGTGGCTGTCAGGCCCTGTTCTGCATCTTTGGCAGCCCACTCCCTCTATGGCCTGGCCTCTATGCTGGCTTCTGAATCCCCTATCTCCATGCTCTCCTCCTTCCTGCCGCTTGTGTCCTCAAGGCTACTTCTCTCACCTGCTTCTGCACTGCTGCATACTTTGCCCTAGCCCCTATAACCCACCTCCTTCCACCTGGTCTCAAGCTCAAGCTGCAGGCCCCTGTGCTTTATCCCTGGCACCTCAAGGTTTTAGCTTCTCTCTGCCTGCTGAGCCTGCTGCAGAATCATTCCCTTTCTGGGGTGCCTGGGTGGCTCAGTCTGCCTTCAGCCCAGGTCATGATCTCAGGGTCCTGGGATTGAGCCCCTCATTGGGCTCCCTGCTAGACAGGGAGTCTGCTTGTCCCTCAAATTATTGATAGGTATGTATTTATTTCCATTTTGTTACTGTTTTGTAGTTCTGTAGATTTTCTCTGATCCTTTCTTCTCTCTTTCGTGATTTGTTGGCTTTCTTTAGCAGTATCCTTGAAATTCTTTCTCTTTATTCTTTGCACATCTATTACTGGTTTTTGACTTGCAGTTACCATTAGGTTTGTGTATAACATCTGCATATAGCAGTCTATATTAAGTTGATGGTTGCTTAAGTTTAAATGCATTCTTTACTTCTTTCCCCCTCACATTTTGGGTGTACTGTCTCATGTTTTACATACTTTTTTTTTTTTTAAAGATTTTATTTATTTATTTGACAGAGAGAGACACAGCAAGAGAGGGAACACAAGCAGGGGGAGTGGGAGAGGGAGAAGCAGACTCCCCGCCGAGCAGGGAGCCCGATGCGGGGCTCGATCCCAGAACCCTGGGATCATGATCTGAGCCGAAGGCAGATGCTTAACGACTGAGCCACCCAGGCACCACCATATTTTACATACTTTTATTTCATGGATCC